TCTAGATTGGTCTTAGAATCTGCTCGGGCTTATATTAACTAATATGATTCATATACAAGTTTATAGAGCCTTTTCGTGCAAATTGAAAATCTCAAGCGTGTCTTTTCAGGATTATATGCTCGTTTATCCTTTTATATTATAAGTGGATTTTCTGAGTTGCACGATAGATAGACAGAGAAATATGAGGCTTGATGTCGACAATATGTCGTATGAGGTATACTTCAAATACCCACTTTTCAACTCCTAAACGAATTTAAAAATAAAATGGAAATTGTGTAATACATTTTGCTCAACTTTTATGTCTTGATGTGTTGTGTGAAAGGAATTACTGGCTTTGGAGGAACAAATACGGAACGTGAGCACCAGTTTGAGTGACGATCGAGTTAGCGGTGCTATTGAACAACGGAAATTTGAATCAATGCCTGTTTTGCCAAACTTAATGGAGTCGTGTTGTATTTGTAGCTGTATTTGAGGTAAAGAATGTTTCATTGAAAAACAGATTGAGGTAAACAATTTTTACTTATTGCAATTGTCCTAGCCTTTCCCATTTGTTCCTCTTTTTTTATGCATACTTGATTTATCCTATTACTGTACATTATATACTTTATCTTAGTTGGTCAAAAATTTTCCGGTTGAGGAATTGTTTGTTGAAGCTAAAAGCTCATTTAAAAAATTTGCCCCATAGAAGAGAAGACGCAAATTCGGAGAGAAATAGAAATATATCTGTTCTTAACTGAGGGAACTAACCATCTCGTTCACCATTCAAAATCATTATCTCATGCAAGCAAGGTCATCATGTAGTTCAAACCATTCTCTTGTTCTTTTACTCTATAGTTAAAACCAATCACATATAAGTCGCTCACTTTTACAACGGAGTCTAATTGACCATCTTTAGAGCTTAAAAGTTTGAGTTTGAAGGCATGGTTTTATTGTGATGGGAGCTTCACAAGAAGAAGAATGTGTGATGTGTAGCTTTGGGAGAAGATTGTGCTCTTTTTTTATAGAATCACGAATCACACTAATAAATCTTTATAGGTAAAATCTTTATAGGGTCTGCCGGTGTACTTGATATTTAAATTAATCAGCAAAATGAACACAAACTAGATACAAACCATTTTTATCCTTTTTCAATTTGTAAATTAATAAATAAAAAAAGATAAATATTAATATCTTGCCATATTAACTTCAAAAAGGTTGTGATGAAACAAGATCAATTTATGACTGGCTGACTAATACACCAATTGTTTTGAGTGCGCGGTGCGGTACATAAAATATGAGCAAAATCAATCGGTAAGGAGCCGGTAAGGAGCATGCATAAAATATGAGCAAAATCTAGCGGTAGGCTTAAAACATGAGTCACACCCTAGAAATGATAAGCCATTTCATTTTTACAGATACAGAGATACTATGCTTTTTGTGGTTAATAGGTTTTTTATTTTATTTTTTTCCGGGTCAGCTCAGAGCTCTGGTTAATACATATTTTAGGCGAAATTCAAAACATCATTAAAAAAATAAACCTATTAGCCACAGAGTTGTACCTGCACATAATGAATGAAATGAATGAAAGCGGTCCCCGTACACCAAAGTGAAAGTTTCATCACAACCTGTTTGCCATTTATTAAAGTTAATACAATAATGTATTAATATGTATCTTTTTTTTTTTTTTTGNTTTGAGTTTACAGATTGAAAAAGGGTAGAAATGGTAGAATGTATTCAGTTAAGTTAATTTAGATATCAATCATATTGACAGAACCTGTAAAGAAGTTATTAGTGTGATTTGTGATTATGTAAAAACAGAACACGAAGCTACATAATCTTCTTCTTACAAAGCTCCCATCAAAACAAAACTTTGCCTTTCCTTCAAAACGTTTACAGCTCTAAATATTGTTAATTAGACTTGGTTGTAGAATTGAGCGATTTATACGGTTTTAACTACACGTTGAACGAGCAAGAAGAATGGTTCGAACGGCCTTGCAGGAGATACATTTTGAGGAGAATGGTTTTAATTCCTCCTGTGGCGAGTGCGGTTCCTGAATTACGAAGCTCAAGCAGTTTGAGGACGAGATTAAGTCCAAAAAAAGGCCAAGTCCATGTGAGTGTTAATCAATGACAAAAGTCCTAGGTTCTTCCATTATTTGTCTATTTATTTTGTTTTATTTGAATTGTGGGTAGAATTACCTTGCCCAAGTGGGTTTGGATGAATCACTCTATTTGACTCTTGTGAACGCTTGCTGGATTTGCTTCCCAGACAACTCGAAGCATTATGTGAGGTAGTAATTTATGCCTTTCCTTCTTATTCACTGTCTTTTCATGAGAATCTAACATTTTTTTCTTCAACTATATTTTATTCAAGAAGTCGGGAATTCCATTTCAACTTGAAATGGACCCTGCAGTTTCTAATCGGAAACCGTCTTTCTTTGATTAGCTCATATGCTAAAGATAATGGGGTGATCAGAAGTATAGAGACTCTTGAGTACGATATGGAACATAATGTCACATGTGTTGCTGATGGGGTAAGACATTATATTAGATACTTCATACTTGGGTATTCAATTCTTGATTCACCAAACACACACATTAAATTTGGTATGAGCAAAACAATTGTTACCATTTTCATTAGTTTGGATTTTTTTTTTTTTGTATATAGCTCTCGCATATGATTTCAATTAATTGTAAGGTGTTGTTGCTATTACATTTTATGTTACCAGCGAACAAAAGCTAGCAATTGGGCTTCAGCTCTTCTTCATGTTATTACTCAGGTGGAAGATGATCATGAGCGGGAAAAAAAAGCTGCTGAAGCANCTGTCAGATATTTTTCCATTACCCCTCAGTGAGTGGATTGACAAGAAAATTTAACTTTGGTTGGTCAGTAAAAGCAATTCATAGGTTGCACAAGATCACACTGATACAAAAGAGGTAAACAATAAAAATGCAGCTATCTAGGCAAGAAACACACTTCTCCATAGAATTTTCATTCAAAAGATTGAAAGAAAAAAATATGTAAAATTAGCCTAAAAGTTAAATTATGGGTAAGAGAAGGCGCCATGACTTCTTTGATCTATGAAGACAAATATTCAAAACAAAACTGATTTTCCATAAACATATTTTAGCAAAGTCCGATTTGGTTACTGACATTTTGTCACAACTCCATCCACACGCCTGAGTTCTTGTAATCTCTTACATGTTTTTGGGAAATTGTATTATGAGTTGCGTTTGAAGGTGGGAACTCTAGCCATCTTGTTACGGAACATGGACCATTCTATGGAATTAAACAACGGGATACGGTTTGTTGTAACCAAATTCTCCTATCATGTCCTCGAATGTAAGATTCTTCGTGAAAAGATGTTGATACCTCAGATCAGGGGTGGATTCATATGTAATTCGGGGGTGCCTAGGCCCTCACTCAAATTTTGGGTAAAAATTACATTGCATGTTAAATTTGATATTTTGTTGAGTCATTCATAAAGAAACATAACTCTAGCAGATAAGAATGAGTATAATAAAAGGTCATGATACTTTCTTTAACTTGTTTCCAATCAGTGCATTTGGTTTTATTTTTTTATTCACTTCATAATTTTTTTTAATATATATTTATTTGCTTAGAAATTAACAACTAAGCTTTATCAAAGCTACAAGTTCATTGGTTAACACTTGAACTACATTAATACTTATAAATATGTATTAAATTTAAATAATTAATTTTCTATATAGATTTATTCTTAATTATATATTTAGATAATTTAAAATATGCAAATGTCCAAATTAATCAATATAATAATTTACAAATATTCAATATTTACACACCTAATTTTCTTTATTTACAAAAATATATTTAAATTATGAAAAAGGAAAAATTTGGATCGATCCAATTAGCCAGTTGTAACCTTTTTTACCCGTTCGAACCAAAATGATCAATTGATTGATTTTAGCCCCGACCAAGTCGATCCAATTTAACTTCGACCAAGTCGACCAAAATGATCAATTGATAGATTTTATAAAAATGGTAACTACACTATGATTCTAATTTAGTTTTAATAGTTCTAGTTTGTAAAATATTTTTGAGTATAAAGCACTTAAATTATATTTATGAGTTTAAAAATCATAATATTTTTTTTAAATAAATCATTTATGAAAAATGAATTACGCTTTCTTTATAAACTATTTTGCCATCTTTCGAAAATAGATTTAGGCTCACACTCGTCAAATTTTCTAGATCCGCCCCTGCCTCACATGACGATAACTCTTTCCAACACAAGAATAACTTTTAAGTTTCAGCGAAGACAATTCCCTATCATTGTTTCTTGCGCAATGGCATAAACAAGAGTCAGTGTTAATCTTTATCTCATGTTGGCTTATTCCTTAAGAAAACAATTTTTAGTCATAGTCAGTTATATGTCTGTGTCTCTCGAGTCACGAACCGAAAGGATTTGAAAATTTTAGTTTGTGGCGAAAAAAAATTACCACAAAGTCAAACAAAAATTGTTGTGGATATGAAAGTGTTCAGTAATATATAATTTTTTATTTTCTATTTCTTAATGGCCATAGTGAGATGTTTAATTGAAAAAAATTAAACTTACTATAATTTTTTAAACAAATTTTAATTAATGACTGTACCGTGCATCGCATGGATTGCATGCTAATTGTAAGGTAAATACTAAATAGGACTTTTATCCAATTACGGTGCAATGCCCAATTAGGGTGCAATGCGTAGGCCCACACTCCGGCCCAACAAGAATCCGTCCATATGCTCCCATCCCTTCAGGCTTCAGCTGCCATCCAATTAGGGTTCATTGGTCTCTCTATTCCCTTTTCTTATTCTTCCATGAATCCTATCTTTCTTCTTCTGTCTTCCCTCAAATCAATAAACAATCAAATCCATAACTAATCACACCCTTAGGTATTCAATTCTTGATTCACCAAACACACACACACACACATTAAATTTGGTATCAGCAAAACACTTGTACCATTTTCATTAGTTTGGATTTTTTGTATATAGTTCTCGTAATCACGTCTATGTTTCTGTAACTTCGAATTAGTCATGTAGAATCAAAGTAGTCCATGTAGATTTGAATTTTTATTAATACCTATTAATACTCTTATAGCATGATTGGTATGATGGAATGTAATGAATTGCAGAATGGAATGATCATGGGAATGAAATGAAACATGTTTTGTCATTGATGCATTTGGTATGCAGAAGGAATAGGACTGGAATGGAATGACATTATTATTTTTTATTATAAAAATAAACAAAAGCTTTTTTTAAAAAATAATATACTTTTAATAAATTATATATAAATGATTTTTAAATAATATATAAAAATACAATAATATATTTTTAATAATATATAAAAATAAAATAACATATTGTTTAATAATATAAAAAATAATATATTTTTAATAATATATAAAAAAATAATATACTTTTATATTATGTATAAAAAATAATATATTCTTAAAAGTAATATATTTTTATAATTTAAAAAATAATATATTTTTAATAATTTTTAAAAATAAAAAGTAATATATTTTTAATAATTTATATTTTATTTTTTAATTAAACAGTAAATAAAAGTAAGTTTTCAATTTTTTATTTGAATTTATTTTTTAAAATAATATATTTTTAATAATATTTTAAAATAAAAAATAATATATTTTTAATAACATATATTTTTAATATTTTTCAATAATATATTTTCAATAATATATTATTAATAGTAATATATTTTTAATATATAAAAATAATGTATTTTTAATAATATATAAAAATAAAATAA